CAATGCCTCATGGGACTTGTAGTTCCAAAACAGCTGGAGTGCCAAGGTTCGCCACCACTGACTTAGGCTGTGGTGCTTTCTTAAGAAAATGAACTCTAAGATATTGAACACCTTTTGTTTTGATGCGCCTGAGATGTAGCTGATTTAATGTGAAGATTCATTTGGGTTTTAATACGAGGGCGGGTTGATAAATGCTGCCTCCACTTAAAGTGACAATGTTAATGTAAGCACTTACCTTAAATAATGTTTCTTAATCCGATCTTCTTCTTTCCTGTCATATTCATCTGTCTCTCCAGCGCTGATGCGGGTCTCCGATCCAGCGCTGACTCCTCTGTCCTTGCTGGCACTTCCTGTCCCATGGTGTCTGCATGCGCGTGCACGCGTCCATAGACTTACCTTGTGTCTCTCCTCGTCTCCGGGCCGAAAATGTGAACCTCGTAGGTGCCCGCCCCAAGATGATTTGCGGCCGCCCGAGGATCTTCACATTTTTGGACGGTAGCGCGCAGGGAAGACACAGGTGAGTATTAACCTCTGTTAAAGCTTTTTTTTTTTACACTTTTTGCATAGATCTGCTGCTTTCTAGCAGTAGATCTATGCAAAAAAAAAACAAAAAATGGAGGCTTTAATTATCCCTTACAGTAAAAAAAAATGAATGGGAAAAGATATTTTTATGAAATAAAAAAAATATACCTACCTTTAGGTATTTATTTCTTTAAAGCTGCATAATTTCTTTAAAGCTGCATAATGTTTCTACCAAATCACCACTCACTTCAATACACTTCCACCAATGCGGCACTAAAAAAAAATCTCAAAAAATCAGTGTTTTGTTTTTGAAACCATTTCCCCACTGCAGACTTCGCCTTTCCATGACAGATGAAGCGCTGGCCCTTCAAGTGTTCCTTTAGTTTTGGGAACAGGTGGACATCACTAGGAGCCAGGTCTGGGCTATACCGTGGATGCGGCAGCACTGAAAAGTCCAGGTGTTGAAATGCATTTCTTGTTGCTGCACTTGTGTGAGGCCTGGCGTTGTTGTGTTGAAGAAAGTGTTTGATTTCTTATTCCAATCCGTTTGATACTTCTTTTTAATGCAGTTAGGGTTTCAATATGATGTTCAGAGTTTATTGTTGTTCCTTTTCAAGAAAGTCTGAAAGAACAACACGAGAACAACAGAAACTAAACACTTTCTTCAACACAACAACGCCAGGCCTCACACACATGCAGCAAAAAGAGATGCAATTCAACACCTGGACTTTTCAGTGCTGCCGCATCCACGGTATAGCCCAGACCTGGCTCCTAGTGATTTCCACCTGTTCCCAAAACTAAAGGAACACTTGAGTGGCCAGCGCTTCATCTGTCATGAAGAGGTGAAATCTACAGCGAGGAAATGGTTTCAAAAACAAAACACTGATTTTTTTAAAGGACGGATTTCAAAAACTAGTGCCGCATTGGTGGAAGCGTATTGGAGTGTGGGGTGATTTTGTAGAAAAAAAATTATACAGCTTTAAAAATAAATTATTTCATTTAAATATATTTTCTATTTAAGTGGAGGCAAAATTTATCAGCCCACCCTTGTCCAATTTGGCCAATGGGGAAGGCTTTTTTTTTTAAATAATGGGATCATTATTATAATCCTTGGAGGCACAGAAATTGACTTTTGGGTTTCATCTGTAAATGGTGTTTAGTTAACAGAAAACCTCATTATAACCTAGGGACTATTAGATCAGCAAAATGTCAGTGCCTATGGTGTATGTTACCACTGGAATCCATACACATTTAGGAAATATTATCACGCAAGTTGTTATAATGTGAATTCTCAATTGATGTCACGTACAGAACAGGTTTTGATGGATTTTGCCCAAACTGGGCGACCTTGTGAAATCCTCTCATATCTATCAAGAACAATAGTGACAGGAGAGACCAAATATTTGAAGAACCCTTTAATCTTATCTTACAGTTGAAAAAGAGGTTGTGGCCAAAAATAACTCTGGTGTAGAGCATAAACACGCATATCAATTACAAAGACCCTTATTTGACCGGTTTAAAGTATATTTAAAAGCTAAATAGCAATAAATCACTAAAAGTATGCCCTCTATGTAAATAAAGGCAAGTCATCTGTTCATACTCTTGGAGATGTGAGCTATATGTTTAGTCATTCCAAAACACTCATTTTTACAGCTCTATTAAAGCTGAATTCCAGGCAGATATAAGAGACACAAATGAATGAAATGAATTTAGTAATACAGATTTCATTTTATTTTCAATACAAGCAGTATAAGTAAAGGCACGGCAGCCTCTTACAGTCCCTTACATCAGAACCCAGACTGGGAGCTTGAGAAGCAACGTAAGGAGCCAGTCAGTGGTGCTGCAGTGCAAGGAGCATGATGATATGAGGAGAGAGAGTGACAGAGAGTTCAGCTTATCAGTCGGCTGCTCTCCTTTATTATCACAGGGTAAGGGTAGGGAGGAGACCTGTAGCAGTTACTTAAACTACAGGAGGGGGGTGGATACAAGGCCAGTCACCCTGCACAAAGGGAAGGGCAGAAGTGATGGCTCTTTATTTTAAGAAGATTCCTACACAGGTAAAGTGAACCCTTTCCCTGCCAATGACGTAAAGCATATGGCGGAACACGACCATTTCCAGCCGGCCAGCTCGGTATGCCTTTCACCCTTCTGCTATAAGCTCATGGTCGCTCCAGTGACCATGAACGTATAATAGAAGGGTCCCCTGTAAATGAATAGCTGTCGTCAGCGGCTGACAAGTTATTCATTAAATATCCGCCCCCCCCCCGCCGCAGCCACCCACCGCAAGTTCCGTGGCTCTGCAGCTCTCTCCTCCCCACGGAGGTGTGTAGGGCTGAGTGGTTCAGGATGCCAAGTGGAAGATCAGCAAATATGTGTAATATTTGCTGATCCTTCCGTGTACTGAGCAAACACCATTTGTAAATGACTGAGCGACATAGTGAGCTATGTCCCCAGTTTTGAATTAACAGGAAGTGCTATTCTTCACTTCCTGTTCATTAATTATAGGGGGCACTTACTATGTGCTCACTTCATGAATGAACAGAAGCACTCAGTACAGAGACTTCCTATTCATTCATAACTAGGGGGAGTACTGTGCCTCCTCAGTTTGTGAATGAACAGGAAGCCTCTGTACTGAGTGCTTCCTGTAAATTTAATGTTGGGGCTGTATAAAACCAGATTGAGGACTCTGTGTCCTCAATCTCTTTCTATTTCAAAAGGTAACTGTCGGGTCTGTAATGTGCATGAAGCATACACACTTTTATTGATGCATTGCATGCGTCATAAAGCCAACGTTTCGCACAGGTGGTCACAATGTCACCCTAAGGCTGGGTTCACACCTAGGCGTATCGAAAATGCGCGTTTCCTAGGGCTACTTAGCTGTATCCCAATGGAAACGCATGACAAAAACGCCCCAAAGAAGCTCCTGTACTTCTTTGGGCGTAGGGCGTTTTGCAGCGCGTTCATACGGCCTGTAATACGCCCAGGTGTGAACCCTACCCATAGGAAATAATGGGATTTCGGTGTTTGAGCATTTTGCAGAGAACGCGCTACAAAACGCCCAGGTGTGAACCGGGCCTAAAGGAAGGGACCCTGTGCATCATTGCTTACCAGGAATCAAACCAGACAGGGACTGCAGTGCTGCAAGGCTGGATTGCTAACAACTAAGCCACTGTTGTGCTCTTTTTTTTTGCAAAATAGCTGCAGCATAGAAGAAGCAGGTCTCCTGCCCTGCCTGACAGGGCTGTGCTATGTGGCAGAGCTTTGTAAATCTCAGAACCGGATGGAGAGAAATACAAACTATTTGGCAGGTAAAACAGCTCTTATATATACATTTCATCTTGGAGTTCAACTTTAACTATTGCAGACAAGCAGCATACTGCCAGGAATGCTTGTGTGTCAGCAGTGTAATTTCCCAAGGGGGGGTGTGGTGTCAGCCCTGGCTGAGTGGTGTAGACTCAGAGCACAAATACAAAGCACAATCTACATTTCCCCAGCGCTGGGCTGCCCATTGTATTGCGATGACAGTCCTGTGCACTGGGAGTATGCCTTGTTGTCTTCATGCCAATGTCTTGTAGGTGTGACAAAGCAGAGGGCAGAGAAATGTGACACGATCAGATTGCAGGGACAGCTGGAAGTGACAGGTACTGCCGCTCCTCTATAGTCACCCGATCTGTGCGGCGGCTGGAAGCCACATCCATCCCAATGCGGACAGAAGACAGACAACTAACTCCACAAAGTCATTGGAGAATTCCATGTCACAGCGCTGCACCCCGGACTCCCATGTGACACCCGACCTGCAATCACTACTGCCCAATATATAGCAATGGCACGGGCATTCCTCGGATTATAATGACACATCTCAGCTGCACTGTGTTCCTACAAATCCTATTTATATCAGATCCGGATCTAAACTTAGAAGCAGTCAAATAGAAAGGAGGCTGAAGACAGGAGACCCTCCACTTCCCAATCTATAGTACGAGTGAAGGACGTACCTAGAGCTACACACATAGGAGAACCTCAAGCAACATACAGGGGAGGGAAGTGAAAATCCCACCCATCTACACAAAGCGTGAGGGAAGACCTTCCACCTACACACAGCGAAGGATTGTCCTTCCCACCCACACACACATATGACAGAGGGTCTTCCATTCACCTCTGCAAAACGAGGGCAGTCTACATCAAAGGGGAACATACTATAGACGAGGTGAACTGTTCAATGCAACCATCAACTTGAAGCCAAAAACACTCATTGAGATCCTCAGAGTTCTTGTGTTTTTGCAGGTCCTAAACTTCCATCGGAGCTTTGCAGCAACAACTTCAGCCTACTTGGCATCAGAAGGGATTATGCTGGAGATGACCCCCCTCCTCCAGATGGGTTAAACTCACACATGGTTACAATGAGTTATAGGAAAGGTAACCTAGCAGATATTGCTTGCAGCTACATTGACAATTGGGTTTGTGTACTTGAAATGCTATAAAAACGCCCACAGGTGGCTGATACGAAGAGCACCTCCTTCATCATCTTCCTAGAAGTTTCCTGTACCTCAATGTGCCTGATCCCCTGGAGATATATCCAATTCTTGCTGTGATCACCATTCAGAGATGACCTTAGTGTTCTCATGGCTCCTGCAGTAAATCTGTACCCAGTGCTCTGAGTCCAGGACATAGCAATGAACCTAAGATTTCTTCTGACATCCAGACATCTCTTCTGGATCCTCATAGGTAAGATTGCTTTCATCATTGACCATTGTATAGAGCTGAGTGTCTGATTGTGTACTAGGTGTTCACAGATATGTGTTTTAGCAAGGTTTAATATAATTGCATATAATTATCACTGTGATACATTCTTCACTTCCTTGAGATGCACTGAAAATAGTTTCATGACAAGCCAGCCCAGTATTCCTGCATTCATTATTTAATACTATTAAAAGTGGCTCACACACCTAATGGGAATCTTTGTATGTTTGTGAGTTTTAGGTACCAGGAAACAAAACGTTCTTTTCTATGAATTTATTGTATCATGATAGTATTTCTTTTGCAATTGCTGTAAACTGCAAGGAAGACATAGGAATTCCTTACTAGTGGATTTCCACTAGTAAGGATACATAAGCTCTTTGCAGTGTGCACATGTCCTTTCTTTGAGATATATTTGCTGTAAAGTAAATGGAGGTTGCCTGACATCATATATAGGGTTCAATTAATTATGCAGTAAGAGAAGGAATGTACTACAGACAGGTCCCTTGTGTCATACCCTTTGAATATGCATTTTGCTGTAACACAGAAGTTGTGACCACCTTCAATTTCAGTGAACCCTGCTGCAGCTTTCACAGTCCCTGCAGAGTTTAGAACTGCATGGGAAAATGATACAAGTCCTAATGGTGGCCAAATGCCTGGACGGGGTTCTGCCAATCGCAACCAATTTCAGGCAACTGTTATCACGCAAGGCAACCTACCACCAATGATTTGAAAAGAAATTGCTTGTTTTAGATTGTTTTGAACGGTTCAGCTATTTTTATAGTTGAAATGATTAAATACTTGGCCAGGTGTGTGGCCAGCATAACCTATTTTCAGAGGTCTTTATAGACTCTCGGGTGAAATTAGTGTGTACCTTTTTTAAACACTAATAAACACCCGGTCTCCTGTTTGTGTGAAGGTAGCCAGGGCAAATGTATCATAGCATCTTCTCCAAAATACAAAATTTGCTCAGAGGTTGAAAAGAAGGGTGTCTGGGAGCTCATTCCATTTCCTCTGTTCTTAAAGGGTCACTATTATGAAAATGTTGTCTTTTAATAAGTGTATGTGGATGATACATGAAAGAATAGTATTTAGGAGATGGGTTCCTTTATTTAAAGGGGCTTTTTGCTATATTTTGTGCTGTGTTCATACAGGACAGGCTCTCCAGCTAAAGTAACAGTGGTTGGGTAAACTATAATGCTGCCAGGGATTGCTTGAGAAGTTAAAGCAGCAGTTGTTTTTCTTTTAAGATGTAAACTATGAGAATAAAAGGTCACCATTCTAAGCACCCCAACAGTGTTTTAGGTTGTCCTAACCCCAGTCAGTACAACTTGAACAAATATACCTAAAGGGCATGTGAAATAAATAAATACTATCATTGTCTTAACCACATACTAACCACATTTAGTTGTAGGATACAATGGGGGAAGTGTATCAAAACTGGAGCAGACAGAATCTGGAGCAGTTGCCCATAGCAACCAATCAGCTTCTCGCTTCAGTTTGTTCAGGTAAGATGTGAAAAAAAAGTGCAAGCTGATTAGTTGCCAGGGACAACTGCTCCAGATTCTGTCTGCTCCAGTAGTGGTCCTCTTCAGTTTCCACACCTTTTGGGGGATTTCACTGTAATAAATCTGTCTGGGTCAGCGATACCTGGAGCTGGGAAAGATTATAATTGTTGCCTGTGAGGTTAACAAATAATTTAGATTATTTAGCTACCAGGAAAAAAAAGAAAAAAACTTTTTGCACATACAAGCGCTTGAGGCATTTCAAATAAATCTTCACATAAACAGCAACTAGCCTCGTCACTTGAATGATCTTTGCAGATGGCAAGCAGGAAATAAGACAGGAACTGTCATTTGTTCACTCAGAAGATAACATTATGGAAGATTGTTTAATTAGAACGGTTGACCTCTGGATCTGTGTGGTGGCTGTGATCACCTGAAGAAATGCCACACTGTAAATAGGCAAAACATTGTCCTATTAGAAGGAATAGTTTTGATGATAATATAACTCATGTGAAGGTTATTTTTTTGTTCTACTTTATACTATTGGCACAAATAGTAACAATATTTTGTCTAAAATGTAGCTGGAGGAAATGCTGACATTTGTAGATCTAGAGCAGCTATATAGTTACAGATCTTCTACTACCAAGATACAAAACCAGATCACAAACGCCAGGCTTCACTATAGTGTTACAAAAAGTCAGCATTTTACTGCACTTCACTGTCCTTTAGTATACATTTTGCCATATTTGTTTGGCTATGGGTTTTATTAAGCATTTGGCTACAAACACTATACCAGCACAAACAGTAGTGTTGTCGGCCCTGGACCCTGGTGCCCAAGCCTAGCCACAACTATGGGAAAGGCATTCTGGTTGCCAGGAGGCTTTTTACAATTGTGATGGTGACCAAAATTTGTTCAACCCCGATTTCACCAACCATGGCAGTTAACTGAAAGCATAACCTCCTAACCATAACCAAACAAGTAACCCCCTGACCATAACTAAACACTCCCTAAAACTAGCATAACCCAAAATGTTGAAGATTGGTTTAAAAAATGTTCTACTGACATCACCTTGGTCACAGTTGTAGCAATAAGGACCAACATTTGAGGAATCAGAATTTGAGGAACTTAAAACTCATTCTTGCTTCACAGATGGTATATACTGTATTTCTGGACAGAGATAGCCATCAACTGAACTAATAATACAATATTCGGCTGCAAATGTTTGCTGAGATGTCTGTAGTCATGAATGTCTTCTTCTCTAACTGATGTCTTTTATAATATAAATTTGTTGGATTCTACTTTTTCACCGTCTGAATTATTTGGAAATCATTTATGGCTTTAGCAACATTTCTTCAGCAGGCTGGAATATTTGTAGTGACCGGTGCTACAGATTTTCAGTGCTCTAAGTTCTTTTATTTGAATGTCAGCCTGGCAAGTTCCACAGGTGACACTTAAATCTGAAATGCATTTCAGGGTGCGCCATGTATAAGAAAAATGATTTATTTGATTGATATGTTCTCATTAACTTACTATTATCTATGCAGCCTTGTAAAGTAACAGTTCAGATGTGCAAAAATGACAACTGTGTGCCGCTTAGCAACACCTTGGCCAACAAATTTCTCTGTCTGTGTTCCTGTGAGTAAGAAAACTGTGAAGATATAAATACATCTTTCTAATAAACCGAGATCACAGCAAATAAAGAATTTGAAAAGACAGTAGATAAAATAGATGAACACAGCTCGGTCTCTCTCGTGCAAGATATAGTTTACATTGCTCTATTTGCTTTTCTTGGGATCTGTATAAAATATTTAGTGTATGAGCAGAGCTGTGTTTAGATATTAAGCTGACCAAGCCATTCTGAAGTCCTGTTCACGTCTGTCTGTTTTCCTGCCTAAAAATACAATTCACAGAGAAATCCCATTAATTCTTGTGTGGCTAGTTCATATCTAGACGCTGCAGCTTAATGACATTTCAAAAATATAGGACATGCTGCATGTTGTTGCATTTACACACTACTGATAAATGCATCTTGCAGCTTTTTGTAATGCATCTACTTTGAAATGTGATAAACAATAAAGAAAAAAATGCATATATTAAAGGCAAAGAACACAGGCTCATGTATAAAATGCACAGAAATGCATTCAAAAGAGATCACAGACAAGCATTAACGTACATGCGTGCCAAAGGCTCCTAAGTATAACTAAATAAATTCCTTCTAGAGTTATAGCCAGCATCATGAGAAACACAACCCTGTATATTGGGGTTATGTGGAAATTTAGGGGGAGACATTTGTCCTGCAAAACAATGTGAACATTTGTTCTGTATAAATGGAGGCAAAAACTAATGATCGTAGTATATTTTCTTCTCAAGTCGAATGTAATATTAGGAAAATAGCGCATTATGGTCACTAGATGGATCTGTGGAGCATATGAAATAAATAGGTTTTTGTATTTGCTCTTCAGCTCCATCTAGTAGCCATAATGGGGTATTTTCCTAAGCTTACATTCATCTTAAAATATACTAAAAGCGATGGTTTTTGCCTCCATTTGCACAGAATTGACGTTCACAGAGTTTCGTAGGACAAATGGCTCTGTGAATTGTTTATAAATACACCCCTAAGGGCCATCTCATGGTTTCCAACCTTTTTCTCCTTGTATGCAGCACTGACCATCATAATAATAGTATGCACCTATTAAACAAAACACAACACACAGAAACTAATGACTTTAACATATATATATATATATATATATATTGTGGCATTGCAGGATCATTTTTTGTCCTTTATGTTCTTTTTTTTCCTGCGCTGTGCTTAAGCTGATATTGTAACAATGCAATATTGAATATATTGGGGGGATTTATCAATGCAATTGCAACAGTTTTAGCCTCTTAGATCATTTTTTTTATGGGCAAATCTGTCTCTTAACATGTGCCCCTGTTTTGACCTGAACTTGCACTAATTTTCCAACTGCACATGTTTTGCGCCTGTTTTGATCTGCACATGTTTTGAGGCTTTCTGAAACGGGAGCATCACCTAACAAAACAATTGCAACTTAAAAAGTCCCCATGACCACTTCTTCAACAGTTAAGCTTTTTGCCTGGAGTTACAAGTCTTCTTTCCTAGAGTCGATTTAACCTCATTTATGAACAACATGACACTGGCATCATAAAACTGGTGCAAAGTGCATCAAATATATTCCATGCAAGTTCAAACACTCGCAGTTGCTATGATAAATTCCCCCCTTTGTGTTGTTGCAATCTGTTTAGGGAGCAGATATTACTTCTAAGTCAAATTAGAAGAGAAGTCTAGACAAAAACACCTTTAAAATGATCACATAGAAAAACTTTAAAACTCTTTAAAAAAAAAAAGGTATTTTGATGTATTAGAAAATGTATGCAGGGCATATCAGAGCATTGGGAAATCTTTGGTTAAGTTGCATTGTTGTGGAGCCTTTCCTTCCACTTTAACCTGTTGTCAGGTT